ACAAAAAGCCAAGTTACTTTGATTTGAGTGGCATCTTCTCTCAGTTTAGTTTCACCTATGCTTCTATTCACTAAACAATGGAGTCCACTGCTATTACCTTTTTTCTTTTCAAAATTCCTCTCAGTAGTGACCCTTTCCCATTCGATGTGTCAGTCATCATCAGCGGGACATGCGAAGAATGACTTGAGCAGTCTTTTCAGTCTGAGTTAAAGGCCACCTCTGGCTTTCTGACTTTATTGAAATACATCTGCCTGTTTCATTCACGCTTTGCGGATCCCACTGGAGGGTCAGGTATCTCTCGGAAATGAAACCAGACATTCCTTTTTTTCTTTCAGTGTATTCCCACTTCTACAAGCACAGGGCCTGTAATGTGCAGATCTCTGCCTGTGTTAGGGAAATCCCAGCTGGTTTGAACTGATAAGAAGCTTGTTGTCTCTCTCACACACAAGGTCTATGGGCGCTACATCTGCTAATGCTTCCACATTTCCATAGATTGGACTTTCATTTGTCCCTGAAGACCTGTCCTCAACAAGTGGCTTTTTTCAGCTAAACATTTTGCCATCAAAGAGTGCTAAGTGAGTGTGTCACATGCTTTTTTCATGGGACAGCATTCATACACAGCTGTGTTAATGTAAATACCCCTTTGAAATCTCAGTATAAAAATCTCAAAGGTCTGATGAAAGCCTTTTCTTAGGCCTGCAAAGTATATCGTATTGATTGTTGGTCAGTATTGGTCATCATTTATGAATTTTTTTTTTTTTTTTCATGCAAGGCCACATTTCCCCTATTTACATTTTTTTTTTTACATGATCTAATCAAGTGTAATCTTTAGCAAATATCAAAATGAATATGCATTTTGTATTCTATTCAAAGTAAACTAAAAAAAAAAAAAATTAAATCTTTCATATATACACCCATATATACACAAAGATATACACACTTCCAAAGATTGGAATAATTAATATTTGTATCTATAATTTGTAAATTATTTGAGAATGTATTATTATTATCAATGTTGAAAACAGTTTGAAAAGTTGGGGTAAGTGCTTTTAAAGAAATTACACTTTTATGCATTAAATTGATCAATTATGACATTAAAGACATTTGTGATGTTACAAAAAATTATATTTCAAATAAATGCTGTTCATTGAATTTTCTGTTCATCAAAGAATCCTGAAAAATGTATCACAGTTTATACAAAAACATTAAGCCACAAAAACTGTTTATTATTGTGTATTATATTACTATTTCTATTTCAATTTACACAAAATTGTAATTATAAATGTAATTATTTAACAATATATATACAATAATTATATTAATTATTGTCTCATTGTCTGGCCAGAATCATAATGTTGTGTTTTTTTTTGTGTGTTTTTTTTGTAACATTTTTTTAAATGCTTGAATATTCATCTCATGTCTTGTTTCGAGTTTATTTTCCCTCGCTTGGTTGGGTTTGCCCAGAGTTACATCAAGTTTTTCTTTTATATTTTCCTGCCCAGTCTACTCTACATCAGAAAATCCCTGAGGACTTATGTAGTATATGCTGAAAGAAAATTCCTATAATACCTCCTGACACGAACTTCTTTATCTCTTAGACTGTCATCTGAAAATTTGTTCGGGGGAAAGAGATTACACGAAAGAAGTCAGTTGAAACTGATAAGTGAGCTGATTGCAGCTGAGCAAATTAATCCAAGTCTTGTTCTGATCCGGCTCTATCTGGTGAGCGGCCCGCAGCAGCGAGACTGCGAGAGCTTCCTCTTCTCCTACTATGCCTGTCACGCCTGTGATCAGAGACATGCGGTCAGTCTCCACACTAATGTAAAACTATGGTGAGATCTTCCCGTTTTGGAATAGTTGGCATTCCGATGTCAGCAGTGCTTGTTTCATATGTTGAGCTTGAACAGGGGAGGTTCTGTAGGTCACAAGGATTTGGTACCTTGCAGCAGGGACATGCCTGTCAGTGGAAAATGTGCTGAGCGCCGTCCATCCAGTTGAAGGGTATTAGAAGCATGATGTGTGTGAATCACAGGTCATGTAGAGATAAGAGAGGTCAGATGGTTCACCACATTTGCACGTTGCTCAAATAAATTATGTCTTTAAACTTAACATTCAGATGTACCTTGCCAGAGACAGAGCAGAATTATTTCCATGAATCTGAAAATAACCTCTCATTATTAGTTACGGTCTTAATCATCTCATTATATACTGATTGTGTGGCTTTTTCTTCTTGTTTTGGAATAATTGGATGATTGAGTTCATGTTTTATTTTAGGTAACCATTTACAAGATACCGCAAGTTCTAATAAACTTATAATGGTTAATCTATTAAACATTTATCATCATTAATTCAATTAATATTTGCACTTGTACTCTAGCTCAATATTGAATCAGACCATTTTATTTCTCATATAGCAACTGCTGAATCTTTCATTAGAAGTTTCTTAGTGATTATTAAATGTATAAGATTATTATATTAATTATCTTTTTCATCTATATCAAACTAAAAGGCATTTACTTTTTAAGACATAGCATAAGCATGCTTTAGAAGCTCAACATAAAAAAAAAAAAAAAAAGTTTGTGGCTTGACATACTACACATGACGTACTCTATTTGGAGAGTTTTAGAAATTATGTAGAAAAAAAAAAGTTAGTTGTTGGTTCATTTGTTTGTTGATGCTACCTGGTTAGACCCCCCCCTACAAATAATGCAGTGAAATTCATACATTTTTAAATGTGACTTGCAAGTGTTCAAAAACTTTTTTGGGCTGCAGTGTATATGCTGCTGTTCTGCATGGAAGAAATTGATCAGACAGTCCAGCTGGAGTCAGTTACATCAGATCAACTGCTCAAAACACAGGCTCTAAAAACAGAGAAATAAACAGCATGACTATGGGATAAACATTTATTCTTCCAGGATTTAGTTTCATCGGATTGTAGGACAAGAAGAGAAGCATTGGAGCATATGATAGGAATATAGGAAGGGATGAGAGGAGGAAAGGATTCTTTTAGCAAAGAAAAACTGGGAAATTGTCGTTTGTTATGATGGATTTCATTACATTGTTAATTGTTAAATAGTTTGACATACAATCCATTAAAGGAACATAAAAATAAACATGGGTGCAAAATGTTATTGTTCTCATCCATCATATTGTAAAACAATAAAATTTATTAAAAAAAATGTTTCATGGTTCATAAATCACCTCAAATAAGATGATCAGTGTAAATCTAGTAAGGGACTTTGGACTTAACAATAGACAGTTATTATATTATGTAATTTCGGTTTATTCCACTCTACTGGAATGAGGCTTTAGGGAAGAAAGTAAACACTTGCCGTTTGGTGAAAACATCTTTTGTATAGACCTGATGTAGAAACAGAAGAATGAGCAGGAGGAAGCAGTGATGAGATCGTAGCTGGATGTTGACGCTCTCTGACCCTAATTAAAAGGCTTCTTTGTCTGAGATGAAGCAAATAATAGTGCATTAGTCTGCTAGGATTGATGGGTCTGACCTGTAGGTGTGATATATTACACAGCACATCTCAGCACCTGAGGCAGTGAATTCCAAAACATTGTATGAGATTTCTTACATGGAAATGACAAAAAAAAATCAAAATGATAACCTTGTGCGGTTTGTTCTAGATAATCACACACATGAAAAGGAGAGAGAAAGCTGGGGGCTGGTCTGAAGTAACACAATAGACCATCCTGCAGCTTTGACATGCTGAGCACATGCCCACGTGTTCTCTTGGGCGGTTTTCAGTCGCTCCACTATGGGGCGTATTAGGGCTTTAAGGTCCACAGAGGGAGCGGGCAATGTCAACTGTTCAGCTGAACCATGTATTTACTGGAGTTGAGAGCGAGTGGGAACTGTTGTGGTTTTTAGAAAATGTGCGTCAGTATATCAAAAAGCAAAACACAAACCACCCACATAAACAAACACACTTTTTGAACATTGCATTGCGATGAATTTATGATCAGACGCTTGTGTTCATTTAAACCTTTCTCGTGAGGTAGGCTAATTTAGAAAAACATATTTACATTTCACTTTATTTTTATAAATTACATATGAAACCGATAATGACAAACAAAACTTACACATTTAAAAGCTAGATTTACGTAGGTGTAGGCTACACAATCTGTAGGCTAATCGTTTGTGGAATTTTCTAGAAATACACTGTGTATAGGCCTACATTTAGCGTACTCCCAGGGATTTTTAGAGTGTTTTCTGCACAAGCAAACAAACAAATATTACCCGTGTTGTGAATATGCTGTTCTAATTAAACGGGATGAGGTTAAAAATGAACGTGTAACAAGAAATAATGCCAAAACACGTCTTTCTATATCTGAATCTATCTTCGCTGATTCCATTTAGAAACGGGCGAACAAGAGCGACCAGTCAGATTCACGGAGGATTGACTCTTATGAGCCGGTTCTTTTAATGAATAGCTCAAAGTGACTCGCGAGTATGAATGACGAATCCTTCGCTGAATCACTGACATGACTTCAGTGAATCTGTCAGAGACGGTACTGAATTCACATTGGGTTGGGACCGGTAAGTGTCACTTAACCACTGCTGGTAGAAACTAGGCTACACCCTTATAATGATGGCCGTTCAAAGTAATTTTGTAGTATTTTAATTAAATATTAAATATGTCATCATTATATTATTATAACGACATATTATAGATTTTGGAAGGCACTTGAAAACATGAAACGGACTTATTTCTTCGTGCCTGCTGCCTTTGACGAGAAAAGGAAACTAGTTGTTCATAAAATAACGTTAGGCTATTAGTTAAACAGTTACCCGCTGAAAAATGTGAGTATTTTCTTGAGAATTACACCGCCGTAAAAAAAAAAGAAGAAAAAAAAAGGCAGCTCTACCACCTTTGGAGGCGGGATGTAGTTTTTGTAACCGAGACGCCCATCATTCAGAATGCAAACCAATGAGAAAGAGAGCGAGCGCTAGAAACTGTACCGTCTCGCTCTCTTTCTGAGACAGCATGGCTCATACACTCTGACCAACTCAGCTGCCTGGGAGGTTACTGTTGTGGACTAGCCTATATTTTACCATTGAATCTTGAATACGCTAAAACCTTTATGCATTTCGTCCAGAAAGATAGTTTGGTTTCCTAATCCTAATCCGAAAACAGCGCTTCAGGACAGCGTCTACATAAACTCAGTTTATAAACGTCAAGGTCTGACCATACGAACAGAGCGCAGGTCTTCATTCACATGTTGAAGAATGAGGTGCAAGTGGACATACGCTGTTGTGTTCATTCACTCAAACTAACTACAGTGACCAACCGCGCTGAAGATCTGACGGGTTTTGGAATGAGAAGTGAACATTCAAAGGACCTGTAATTTGTCTAGTTGTTTTCTTTCCTCGTAAATCGCAAGAAAGGATGTGCTAGAGATGAACGCTTTATCAGCCTGGACTATTGACAGTCAGCGAGCGCATTAAACCGGCTTCTTAGTGTTTCCTCTAATAATTATGTACATGTAGGTAACTGTGACTCTTTGAATGACTTTGTCATTCCTTGCACTGCGGTCGTTTAGATCTGTCTTCATCTTTTGTACAGTAAAAGAAACATAATTTAAAGAGAACAAATTCCGTGCGTGGGATATTCAAGGAAAATCTGAAGGGTCGCGAACTTCTTCATCACCGGAACGCTGCATCGAAGGGGGCTGCGATTGAAAGTTTCAGAAATGCCGCAGGTGGAGATGTTTTATTTTGTGTTGATCAGCCTGTGGATGTCTGTGTTGGGCCTGGAACCGGCGTCTAAGGTTGTGGCGGATCGCTACGCTGTCTACTGGAACCGAACAAACCCAAGGTGAGTTAGTTATTTGCGCAGTAAATGTATTAAAACGCCGTTTCAATTCTGTCATTTAGAAGCGCAACAGTCCGTAGGATATCGAGCGAAATATAACGCGGATGCGAACTGAACAGCTTCGTCAGGATCGTTTGAATAAATTTGACTGATGATACAACAGTCATAACAAACACACATATTATAAGGGCGACACTTCTTACAAAATGCACGCGTGCACATATCACGCGCGATAGACACTTGTTAGCGTTATTTTACAGTAAACAGGCAACACTCTGAAGAGCATGGCTCTACAAGCTAAGTAGAGGTAACAAAGACCATGTTTTAGTTTGGTAGCTAAGTAGAAATATATATATATATATACTACTTTTTATGGGAATTTTTACCTTCCAATAACTACATAAATTTAGGCCAGATTTATAAGAATGTTTTCTTTGTGCTTTTGGAAGATTGACAAGCAAGCTCTCTGTTCTTTCAAACTAAGAAGTCATTACCCTGTGCCACTAGCTTGTCCTAGATATTGCCCTCTAGAAACATCATTAGAAATATATATCATGGCTCATTGGTCAGTTGTTCTTTAAAATCCAATTAACGAATCCGAATCAGAATCAGCTTTATTCGCCAAGTGTGCGCAAACACACAAGGAATTTGTTGTGTTTTTTAAGAAGCTCTTGGTACATACATACATACATACATGCATATATACATACATACATATCTGACATGAGAACAGAAACATTTAAATAAGACTTAACAATAAATAATAATGTATATGAATCTGGAACAGAAGATTTATGTACAGATTTGTGCATTATTTACTCTATATATACGGCTGTATAGAAAATATTCACATGTATTTACCTCTTTGAATGTGATTTTGCTTGTTATCATAATTCTAAAAGTGCACAATTCTACCGATTCACATTTCTTTTGAGGCATTTATAAAATGTGTGGCTGAAAATGGACTAGTAATGGATTTCAACAAAGGTTTTCTAATAAGGTAATACAACCTTACTGTGCAGTGAAGGGTGGTAATGAAAAATAGCATCAGAAGTTGAGTCGAAATAAGTACTTTTCTGGCTGAATGTGAGATACTTGAATAAGTTGGTTTGATGGCTGTTAATAGTTTGGGTGTGTTAAATGTCAATGAGCATTTTGAATAAGCCAATATAATATATTATTATTCATGTGAAAAATAATTTAACAATTAACATATAAGAAATATATTTAAATTAAATTACATCAGGCTCGCTGTCCCCTTCTCTTTGCCGCAAGTCTTGAGTTGCCTGAAAGCACTGTGATTCCAGCTCATCCCCATTCTCAGTTGTTCCTCTTCAGTTGCCATGGGGCTTTCTCTCTGCCCTGCACCCCAGCCCCATGCTGGTTTTACACAATGGGTCAAACCCAGAGAGGCATTTCAGGAGTGGCTGATGCCCAGTTGGGTGCGTGCTCATGAGAGAGGGGTCACACGTTCAGGGATAACAGCACAAGGCTGCGGTTAACCATCATCGGACAGTATTGAGCTCTGGTTAGGGTGAATCTGAGGGCGAGCCCGGTTTCTATAGCTTGGCAGAAATGTGTGTTTGTGCGATCGTGAATATCTGCGTGTGTGTGTTGGAGGCTCCCTGCCTAGGTTTTGTCCAGGCAAAATGAGGCCCCTCTAGCAAATAAATGAGTTAGTTCAAATGAGTATCTCTCATTCACATTCATACACTCACCCAATGGCCTAATTCAAATCTGGCTGTGCTGTATAATGTAGCAGCACTCTCTGGCAAGACCTTGGGGCCCTGAATGTCACTCATAACCCATAAAACAAGTAACCTTCTGATCAGAATGTGTCTGTACATCGATCTGATGTCTGACTTTCTTATTTAGACATTGATTTAGACTATTGGACCCTTGAAAGACCAGTTCTTCGGTAGCTTTTAAGATGCTTGATCGGTTCATTGTGTTGTTTCAAATAGCTGCATCTTCCTCTCTTAATGTTGATCATTAACATGGCTAAATTACGAACATTAGAGACAGCTGTGCTGGAGTCCAACTCAAAGATTTAGATAGCCGTGCCATGAAATATAAATTTGTCAGAAAGATTGCCTACATTAGAGCTTTAATTGAAGTTCTTAATAGCCCTACGGCATTTAGTGACAAACAACATACTATAATAATAAGAATCACAACTTTTTATTCATTTTTTCTCAAAGCATGCAGACAGGCTTATCTCTTAATCGTTATTTTGCAAGCGAAGGAGTTATACTATAGAGCGGCGGCAAACGTACTGAGTGATTGCTAGTATTTTCACATGAGTGAGTACAGCGGAGTCTATAGAGATTCTTTAGAGGATTTAGGGGGCAATGGCTCCTTTAGTTTTTGGCCTGAGATTTGCAGCGCACCCATTCATATGTAAGCCTCTGTCTTGCTCTACATATGGTGGTCTTACAAGCTTCACTGGGTTTCGGAGACTCTTTTTTTTTCTCTCTCCAATGCGGTTCACGCCGTTTGCAATTACAAATTCAATTCAAGTTGGCAGATTTCCTCTGAAGTTTCCCAGCTCGTTCTCAGATTAGTAATTTCTTAGTTTGAGACATGTTTTTTCACAGGCATTACTGGATTGGCTTGAGATAGAGAGCTTATTGTTTCCTTCTCTATCCTGCCTATCCTGTGTTTCTGAGAAAGTATATCGCAGATATGCGATCTACATCGCAAATATATTCATTTGTCAATTTTTTTTTTTTGTGCTAGTTCCTGGAATTTGAAACTAAAATAGTTCTTATGTTGAACATGAAACCTGTTTATTTGTTGTTGTTAGGCAGGATCAGTCAAGAATCAGTATTGAATTCCTACCTTAATCTTCTGGCTGTTTGTGTATATGGTGCCATGGAAGCCGATACCACTGTCCATCAAAGAGGTCTGTCGAATGGACCTAACAGCTGGGGAGAGGGATTTCAGCATTCTGAGTCCCGTTTTAATCACTGATAATGCCTCTCAAATCTCTCAAAAACAGATGTGGCACTTTTCCTACAGTTTTTGAAGCCTTTTCAGTCAGGTGGTATAGTGAATAGTACTCTCTGCCTTTTTAGACTTGGGTTTTGTCACATGTCACACTTAAACGCTTTTTTTGATAGTCTTTCCTTGCTCATTTCTTCACTACAGAAATGGGAAATGTCATGGATCTCCTGTAAAGCCATCTCTTTTTCACCTCTTAACTCTAGCTTGTGCAATATGACCTCAAATGGTTTCCTTTATGTACCGGCTCAGTTTTAATCCCCACTTTAAAAACAAAGCCCATGGTTTGCGGTTTGTGGCCAGCTGATATTGTGATAACTGTTCAGTGGTATTGTGTGTGGGGTTCAGTTTGTATTGTTCTCCGTGTTTACCCTCCTTTTCCCTCGCTGGCACTTCTGGCCTCCTGCTGCTTGGTTCCGCCAGGATTTTTAATGGGGGTAAAAAAATCATGTCCAAATATTGACTGGTCTGAAGACCTCAGTCTTCTCCCACCCCATGTGAAAGGGTGCCATTGTTCCTGTCTTAGTGGATCTTTGCCAGAGTTTAAAGTATTTAGGCTCTTACACGCAGGAAGTGCGTACAACATGGCTTGTAGAAGGAAATATAGACCGACTAAAGAATGGAAAGTGTTACAGATGGGAACCGCAGGCCTCTCGGTTTGAGTCCCACAATCGCACCCCATCCCGATTAACCCTCCAGGGCTATGTGGCGGTGTGCTGGCACTCTCAGAAGATTTGAGGTATCAGAAGACTCATTCCAGCAGAGAGAAAGTTCTCCTGCAGGGTAACTAGAACATCCTGCTGTTTGATGACCCCTAACACTCCGAGGGGTTCCTGGCCCCCTTCTTTCTGTGCTCAGCTCTTGCGTTCCGCTAATAAACTGTCATGATTGCATCTCAGCCAGAATTCTGGGAGTGTCTCTTTTTTTTTTTTTATTAAAGTCAACCAGTTCTCTTTTCATTTTACGAAATCACGCTTGAGTCATCACAGCATTTGCTCTTCCTCTCTGAACTTTTAGATGGTAACTGATGCATTTCGGGTCTCTATGTTTGCTCGAGGTAAGCTCCTCATACACGGTGAGCTTTTAAATTGTGAGTGGTGAAATGTCTTCGCTGGTGTCTTTGAAGGCTTGGCTGAAGGTATTAACAGAGAAGCACTAAAGGGCTTAGGAGGTCATCGGCCCATTGTGTAAAGATACAAAACACTTCCTCTGAACCCCTTCACCCTTCTGTGTCTCCCTCGGAGAGCCACGACCTCAACAACCATTCATATTAATCAGCTTCAGACCTAAATGACCTGATAAAGCTCCTGAAAGGACCCTAAAGTTTACTAAGCCTCCTTGATAAGAATTGAAGGAAAATGTAGCATGCGGTAATGACTACTTTGCGCATTCTTTCACCGCGAAAGCACAGAGCGGTTTGCTCTTTGTGCCCTTCATCATGGCACATTTAATCGCAATGAGAAATAATGAAGGAAGCGTTTGTTCGACAGGCAAAGCTAATATAAATGGACTGACTCGGCAAGAGTTAGCATGAAAGGAAAACAAGAAAGAACAAGAAACTGGGAGAGAGAGAAAGCTTCATAGCTCGAAAAACTTGTCTCACTGATTTGAACTTGGTCTGTAACCTTAAAACTGCTTTCACCTGCACAAATGAGGGACTTTTGGCTGAAGAATGCATTTATCTTTCTTTCTCATCCATAAAGAACTTTCAAGGATTCTTTGAAGCTGCCTACCATAAAATATTTCACTCATTCAAAGTATAAAAAATTTGGATGATGAATAATTTTGTACTCTGATGAACGACATGCATCTTTTCAAAAACATTCTTTGCCATTAAGCGGCTTTGGCTGCATTATTATGAACATACTGCAATTATGGCTATGGTGGTGCTCCAACAAAATCAACAGATTGTTAATTAAATATTGTAGAGAAAAACAATGTGATGTTTTTAATTTACCAAACCTTTTATGAACGAAAATAAAAGGACAAAACAGCAAAAC